TAAAATCTTATACATTTTACCTTAAGTATTTTACTTGTAGTTTTTAATTAATGTGTGCAAATTATTATAAAGAACATAGTAGATAAGAGAGTAAAAAATTTGAAACCCAAGATTTTGTTTTGAAAAGAAAAATATATTCATTATTATTTAGTATATCGATACAGATTTCATTTGCAGTTTTTAGTTCAGTTATTTTTTTATAGAAATCAGCTATTTATTTTTTTCAATTTTTAAAAATTTCATATTTACATTTGTTTTCTTTAATTTTGTAAATTTCATAGAATCAAAAGACCAATCAAAATTTGACAATTAAGACAATGGGGAAGGTAGACAAAATTAAACTGAACTTCACTGCATGCAAGAGAAGTATACATTTTAAACATTTTATAAATTCAGTCTGGAAATGTATTACATTTAAGAATTGACTCAGAGTAAGAAAATGGTCAGAAAATAAATATTGATGATACTGTGAGTAATGGCAAAATTAAGGCAGGTGGTAAGAACTCGAAAGTTAAACATAGACACATGTTACTAAATCAAAATTAAATGTTGCATAGACTTAGAGGCATAAATTATCCCCAGAGAAAACAAAGCTGAGCAAAATGTCTGGTAAAACAATGTTTTTGTTTTCCTAATGAAACTGATAACAATACAAAATCTTGGCAGTTTTTGTAGTATATAAGTTACCATTGTGAACTGATAGTAGTGTGACGATTACTTCAACAAATTTACAGAAACAAGAAACAGTTGAGGAACTGAAGCAGCGTACAGATCATACTGAAAATGATGATAGCAGTGAATATGAAAGTGAAGAGATGTCCAAAAACTTGAAAGAAGGGAAAGTATATAAGCAACATTTGGCTAAAGGAACATACATGATACAAACATCTATGTATGTGCAAGCATTTTCAGATGAGGACGTAGGTCATGACTCAGACCAGCCTGGGCCTCAGGCTGACACCAATGAGGAGAGCTCGCAAAAACAGCTATTTAGATTTAAAAGCAAGATTTATCCACTTGATGATAAGGAAATAGAAAAGAAAAGTGATGGAGGACACAGTCAGAAAGATTCAGAAGCAGAAGAAATAGTCTCTGAGAAGGAAACTAAGCTAGCAGAAATGGCAGGTCTGAAGGATATAAGAAAAAGTGAAGAGGCTATAAAAAATGTTAATACATTATTTGACAACTCATCAAATAGAGACATGATAATTGAGGATATTGAAGACGATGATTTTGTTAAGGAGAGACAAGAGAACGAGGAAGATGGGATCCCTGGCAGTGAAAGAGAATCTATACAGGAGCCAGAAAGTCACTTGGAAGGTGAAAGTGAAAGTCAGCAGGGTACAAGTGATGGTTTCCAGCCTCCTGAGTCAGTGGAATTTAGTAGTGGAGAAAAAGATGATGATGACGTGGAAGTTTGCCAAAACTTATGGTATGACAGAAAATGTATTAAACAAGGACATGAGGAAGAGACTGAGCACAAAATCTCTGAATTCATGGCAAAATATGATTTTAAGTGTGACCGCTTGTCAGAGATACCAGAGGAAGAGGAAGGAGCAGAGGAAGAGGAAGGAAGTGGAATAGAGGAGCAAGAGATAGAGGAAAATGTGGAGATGCCTGGAGGAAAGGAGGAGGAGGAAGCAGAAATCCTATCAGATGACCTTACAGACAGAGCAGAGGTGAGTGAAAGTGATGGAAAGTCAGGGGGAGAGGCAGAAGATGTGCCTGAAGGTGGTGAGGGAATCTGGAAGGAGGGTAATTCAAGAATGGAACAGAGGCAAAGTGAGGAGGGAGAGGAGGAAAGAGACAAGGGAGAAGGAGAAATAGAGAGCCAGGGTAAGGAAGAGAAAGATTTAGAAGAGAAGAAGAAACAGGAGCTAAAGGAGAGGGAACAAGGCCATCAGAAAGAAAGGAACAAAGGGATGGAGGAAGGAGAAGGGGAGGAGCAAGGAAAGGGGGAAGAAGAGGAGGAGGAGAGGGGAGAAGAGGAAGAGGGGGAGGAAGACAGAGAAGAGGAAAA